CTTCTAAAACAATAACATGAAATCAGTGAGAATCGTAAGGGTTGCTAATAGTATACTGTGAATACCAATGAGTAATGGTATCATGAATCGCGTTCTTTTCATCGTTGCGGGGTATTTCGGGAATTAGTACCTTAATGAAAGAAGACACTCTGAATTCGAACACATTTTAACGTGTGAAATTCAAGATTAACAGAAACTGAAATTGTCCCTTTCCGGAATTTGGGGAAAAGGACTGATGATTGAATGTTTTCAAAAAACTATAACAAATCACTGATTTCAGCATCACACTTGCTTTTTGCTTTGCAAAAGCAGAAGCAAAAACTGAATAAATTTGTAGGAAGCAAAGCAAATATGCAATAAATTTCTGCAAATATTCAATGGATTCGTTTTAAATCCGAATAATCTTTGCTCCAAACAACTGTACGCCATAATTAAAACACAGTTTTTTTCTTTTTTTTGTGATGAATTTTGCAAAATTTACAGTAATGCTCTGATTATTTCGCAATTTTTTGCATGTTATAACATTGTCTTTTTGTATTTCAATTTATGTACAATCCTTTTCATGAGGCTTTCGTCGGGGATTAAAAGCATATTCATCAACTAACGAGTTAGAGATAGGGAATTTGAATGTAAGAGAAAAAAATATAAGAAACATTGCGAATCGCACAGATCAAAAGCTATTGAACCTTTGGTCGTTTAATTCCATTCAATGTGATATAAAATGGCTTCTATTCAAACATTTCTACCATTTTAAAAATTTTGTATTTTACTTTGTTCTTCGTCATGTCGATAACACAAATCATTGGGTTCAGTCTTCTGGTTTGCATCACTTTGGCCTATAATGAAACTTTCTCCCCATTTGACCTCAATACAAATGTTATTACCACATTCGTTGGTTATCCTGGCTACGAACAAAATGTCACTCTGAACAATTATTATCAGCCTACTACTCTTCTCCCAAACAACGTTTATAACCCAAGTGAATTATTTAAATCAAGTGATAGCAATGAAAACATTGACTATGACTTCTTTCAAAAATACATTGACAACTTCAATTTATCATACTTTGATCCAGATCCCAGTGAATATAATATTGATGGAGAAATACCAGAAGGTAACATTAAAAATGAATTTTTTGTTTCTAATATATATGAGAAAAAGCGAATCGATTATAGTAATTGAAATGAAATGCGATGTGATATGTTTATTTTATGGCATTGATATTTTATGATCAGTTTTCAAATTACATTAATTAATTAGCAAATATTAATTAATTAGCAAATACTGGTAGTATAAGAGGAGTTTTTCAGAAGAGCAAAGTCATAAACGTCCTCATGACAGATGTGATGCGAGCCTTGACAATCGCGATGAATATAGAAAATGCAAGAAAACGCCCGACCAACCATCTATTTGCAAACGCAAACGACCCGATTGTGGGCCAACGTCCAATCATTCATCGTTTGCCTTTCACAATGAAACACATCAAACTGAACACCAAGGTGAAAGTTGTAACAGATCCTTCTCCTTTTAAGCACAACTTGAAAAGACACGAGGAGCTACGCTCCAAATTTTTCATTCAATTTCATTCAATTTCAATTTCAATTTCCAAATTTCGCAAATTTAGCAAAAAATTTCAAGTCAACGTTTTTCTATCTGGAATAGCAGAATGCACATGAAAATGTGCTGCACAACATCCGCGACCATGGATAGCAATGCGAAATTC